GTGGCAGGCAAGAGGAAATGCTTGATGTTACTGCGTTTTTGCACTGCAAAGTCTAAAGTTGCAAAGTCCCAGGATCTTTTGGGGTGTTGTCTGCAAATATTTTCAAGATATTGGGCCAGCACAAACCTCTCTGCTGCGCGTGAACATAGGCCAAATCTAGTGCTCTGTTGAGAACCTCCAGCACCCAAGAAGTACCTGTTGCTGTGCCTTCATCGCCCACTGCAACAAAAATGATCCTGCCGTGAATCAAAGCCGCTGTCAGTTCAGACGTTGGCCGGTGCAGGTTGGCAATGTCCTTTGGCGCGCGTCCTTCATTGTACCGTGGCAATGCGAATTTGCTCTTGTCCATTGAGTCAGTTATGACTGTGAGTATGTCTAGTTCTCGTTTTGCTCTGGTGCGGAGTTCCCAGTACACTTTTCGATCTTGAAACTGTCCACATAGGTGACGCATCAGGAGGTCTGAAAAGTGTGCGTGCGTGGCAATATCACTGCTATGCCGAAGGCGTGATTTCAATTTTGAGCAAACATTGCACGCTGAGTGTTGCGAGAGAGGCCGGAAGCGCAACACCTTTCGCCAACCAGAGCTCCTCAAAATACGATAGAAGGTTGTTGGAGAAGCGGTGTGTAGATTGTGTGCTACCTGAAAGCTTGCATATAGATGATATAGCTCACTGTACTTGCCTGGAGGCAAGAATCTTCTTATGAGATTCTCAGGTCCCAAGTTCAGAACTGACTTGGCCATGTCACTTTCCAGGGCAGAGTCCATGAGTAATTGTAGCAACTTTTCCCGCTGTGGCTCTGTGGCCAGATGTTCGTTGGGATCATGGATTTTGAGCCTTTGTTGCTGACTCTCTCTCACACACACACTTGTGTCCTTTGAAAGGAATAGGTTGGGTTCTCTCAATTCTGTCAAGAAACTCATGGGGAAGAGTTTCCCCCACACTCCAATACATTTTCTCAAAGAAAGAAGATACTGACGCTGCTGCTGGTGCCGATCTTGATGTGGCATTGCCTCAAAGTAGGCCCATGGAATTGTCATAAGATTTGGTGGTGGGGATGCCACACCAACATTCACTGCAAGGTGCTATATTTTCTTTGATCCTCACCCTGAAAATTGTGGCGGGCGCGAACCAGTCTCCACGACCCAATGCCCAGCAGCTTGCAGAACGCATCTCTGCAAACTTTGACACCTAGACAGGGTATCTTAGGGTCAGAGTGGGTGAAAGTAGATAGAGGGTCTTGATACATGTTGGTACTCTGACCCTGCCTTGGAAGTACCAGGTGTTCAATGCCTTCTGAGCCCCATCAGAATTGGAGCCATCCGAATCCGATCGTGAGCGACCTCCCCTGGCGCTATGCACATTCTGCATGCCCCACAGAATGCAATCCTGTGCAGCCTTGCTAAGATTCCAGAATGTAGTGCAGATCTCTAAGACCAAACCAAAAGAGACAGCTTTGTGGCACTGGTTCTTGCAACTACAGCATCCACTCTTCAACACAGTCTTGATTCTGTTTGGACACTTGCCATTGGTGGCAGCACAAGAATCCTCCACAGATCCTTGATCACCAGGAAATGAGGACAGGTGTGACATCAGCAGTTCACTTTTCCCATGAACCGTCGCAGGCACAGTGGAACCTGTGTCACTCTCAGACCCAGGTTCAGACGACGATGATGACGATGACTCGTCATCTGATTCACTGCATTTGACTCGCTTGAGGCAGGGCTGGGAGCTGGAAGAGGATGAAGAACAAGGGTTGTTTGCATCAAACCTTTTCATGGCTGCGGCCTGTTTTCCAACTAAGCTGAATTGAATAGGCACAGTGCTAGGCACATGATGTGTGCAAGAATGTGTGCATGGCAAAACTGAATATAAAAAGATCAAGTCGCGTGCAAAAGATAGCAAAAGCAACAATTTGCACCGGAGTCTTCACATCACTGGGAAGACCTTTGCTTCAGCCTGGCTTCCCGGACAAACTTCACCAACTCTACGCCGGCCAGCCCAATCAGGAATGCAGATGCGACAGACTTCAGGTGCATGGCCTCAGGTTGGGCATCAAAGGCTTTTGGCTTCGATGTTGGGTTCTCAACAAGTTTGCAATCTTTGGTTGACCAGGCACATTCCCTGCCAACGTGTGAAGTTCCTTAGGTTTCTGGTTTGAAGACTAGGGTTGCACTTGATGCCTGTGAACAAGAAATCACCTTTTGCAAACAGGGTACTGTTTCTGTCAGGTGATTGAGCTTCAAATCCATGACAGGGAAGGCTTGAAATAAGAATTTGTCGGCACCAAAGAATGGACGCCCCTTCTGGTAGCTGAACAGACCTGCCTTTGGAGTCACGCATGGGGCACATGGGCCAGTTCCGCCCATCCGATCTATCTGCTGGCTCACATTGATGGTGGATTGGCGCCCAATGGTCATTATGATATCAGCCGCCTCAGCCCAAATGAGGGTAGGGCTAGGTGACATTGATGTGGTTTGAATCGACAGGATGTCAAAAGCTAGGCCCAGGGCATGTTGGACCCTTTGAGAAGGATAGAATCGGCGAATGTTGGCGCACTTTCTCAGCTGAGTTGGGTCCACCTTCCACAAAATAAGTTTTGTTGGGTACACCTTCCATCAAAATACAATGCAAGCCTTCTGACTTGCAATTGGCCTTGTGCTGCTTCATCTTGATGAAATGTTTCCTCACCCAGCGTGGTTTGCTCTTCTTGGACTTGGGCCTGGGCTCTCTCACATTAAGGTGAACATGCTTGGAGGGAACAACGCATGGAGGCTCGTTCCATGTTTTGTGACAAGGGGCGCACTGGTGAGATCAATCAGCTTTGCAGGGTCTGGGCGGCGAAGATTTGTAGAAATTTGCCGGGCCACATGAATCACATAGTCTGTGTCATTGTCCAGCATCAGGTCAGGCCTCAATGGTCTTAGCTATAGCCAGCAGTTGGTAGCTGCAGACTCAGAAAAAACATATCCCAATATCCACTGTAAGGCGGGTGCACTGAAATGAAGGGTCCATCATCCACTTCCAAGTTGATGTCACACTGTGTGGCGTGGGCATGAAATGATGAGTTGCTGCAAATAGTAGCCTTCGCCACATTCCTTACAACTTCTTACTGCAAGTAAAACCAAAGGTTGGCACCATGGTGTAATGAGGTGTAATGCATTTAAGGTTCTTCCGGAGAAAAATAATGTACAGCCGTCTTCTTGTCACTGGCTCACCTAGTTTCGATGGGCATTTCTTGGTGACACACATGTAGTACTCCTCCAGGAGGCCAGAGTCTTCGATCTTCTTGCGCACCTGGCGCTGGATGTTAGTATTGTTTGTACTATTGTTTACTTTGTCATCACTTCATGAATTTTCATCAACATGTCAATGCCTCAGCCCACACATCCAATAAACCATACACATTCTCCAGCACTCCCACCAGTGGCTTTGTCCTGGAATGTGATGGCCAAGAGGCTAGAAACCAAGCTGAGCAGGCACACTGAACAAGAATCAGGGATATGATACACATGTCAAATCTCTTCCAAGGCACGTGAACATGGCGTGAAGGCAATCATCTAGAACTTTAGCGTTCTCTTCCTTCAAGTATGTGGTGTTCTGTCTGAGTCGCGAATACCTGACAGGCAAAGTGGCTGAGCAGCAGACTGGCCAAGTGGCTGAGGTAGTTTGAGGGTTGCAAGGCCAGTTGGAGTTTAGACTGTTCAAGGATTAGGCCAGGTGCGGCTGGCATGGAAATCCAGCAGCGTAGAGTAGACACTTCTCAAGGCCCTTCAAGTCCCGGTCCTTCATGTCGCAGTAGAGCCTCCATATACATTGAAGCTTTCATTTACTTTCTGTTTCAGTGTGTCAGAGAATGCTAGTTTTTCTCAATCAATATCCTGCCTTTCTGGCTTTGCGTTGGCGAGCAAGAATTTGAAAGGAGCCACCTCCCTATCAGTAGCTGCAACCAAGTTCACCTGCAAACATATTTCTGTAAACACCTTGGCAACAATTCTTGCCAAAACACTGGCCTTGCAGCCCAAAGCCTCCTTCAAGGCAAAGTAGCAACCCAATGCCCCACAGCCTAGATCTCAATAGGACCCTTTGAAAGTTCATGCAACCGACCCTACAAAGACCTTTCAAAGGCAAGGGGCAGTCAGACATCAGGGTCCACTCGATATCTGGAGGTAGGTGGTTGACCACATGGAAGGCGCCTTGGAAAATGGAAGGGGGGCTGCAGAGGCAGCAGGGTCTAGTGCTGCATGAAAGACAAACCTTGGTTCTGAATTGCCCAAGTGGTCTGATTTCCGAAGCAGGTCAAATCCCCAACCAGACAAATGTCTTCGCTGTGAGCGGTTCAGCTTTGGATCTGGGGCCACGGTCCTTGCCCTTAGTTACAACAGTCATAGCGTTGATTAGCTACTAAGCTAAGAGTCATCCTTAGTTGATGAGCCAAGGGTCATTTCTTGTTTTGCCAGCTTGTAGTTTTCTGCTCCATCAACTGATTCTCCAGATTCTCCATTGGTGCTACTGTAAGACGAATCAGAGGCGGAGTCTGAACTAGATTCTGAGCTGCTCATGGCTGCAGCTGGCTTCTCAAGTGTTGGTTCTCTATGGGTGGGATGTTGGTTGGCTTGGTTGAGTCTTACAACCAACCACTCAAAATAGGGTCTTTTCCTATCAAACAGAGGTCAAATGGGTTCTAGGTATATGTACATTATATATATACACATGTTCGTCATAGTCACTGGAGTTTAACTGAGCACAGCGCGCTTCTACCTCAGCGCCATCATGACCAAGTCGGGTCCAGTCCGATGCCAAAAACACCTGAAAAGGGTCCTGGATCCTTTCAGGTTGGTTTCTTGGGGTTTTAGGAGGCCTGCTTGTGGGTGTCCAGACTGAATTATTTTCGCCTGACGGGATGTTTTAGACCGGTGATCTCGACATGACACTTGCCACATGGCTCGTTCTTCCGATCGTCACCGGGGGCGTTTGGGACGATCGGCCGAATGGCGGGAGGCAGCTTCTTCAGCCTACCGCCGCGGTTGAGAGCCGGGGGCCAGTGGCACTGCTCCGGTTGGTCCCTCAGTCGGTCGGTCGGCGCAAACGGAGGAAGGATCGAGGACCGGATGATTTGACAGAGATCATATGTGATATGTGTATAAGATCTTAAGATATGTATAGAGAACACTGTGAGGTAAAAGGCAACTCCCCATAAACTCTCCACCGAATCTTGAAAAGAGAGACAAACACAGCCAAAAAGCAATAGACGTGGGATCCATACACCTGCAGAGTTTTGACGATGTGACCCAATTTGTTTCCAGGTAGGGGTTCAAGGTTTCAGAAGCTGGTGCTGGGAGCTTCCTGATTGCACCATCGTACTGCGCATTCAGGGGAGAAAGACCCTGGGATTGTTGGGACTGGGAGAACCTCACATTTTTTTGGGACACCCAAAGTCGGACTGAGCTACCTTGAGGCGATTCTTCGTCAACGGATCACCCTTCTTGGACCGTTGATCAGGTCGATATCAAGCAGGTTACAGTTGATGGTTGTGTACCTTTTTGACATCACCATGCACACTGTTTTTTACGCACTGTTTGAATATCCTGTTTGGAAAGACAGCTCGCAGATGCTCGCAGTTTTTTGTGCTGGGCATTTGGGTTGGGTCGGGTTCTTGACTCAGCTCATAGGTGCGAACTCGAGCCTCATAGTTTTGACCACCAAAAGCGCAGGCCCCTTGTTCAGATTCCACGTCAATTGTGTGCTGAGTGGGGGGTAGCTTGTTCCCTCATATGTCCGAACGTATTGGGACACTATTGTAGGCATTCTGGAAAGCATAAGTTTTTCAAGATGGCATCAGTGCAGGCACTCGTTTTTATCGCTTCATGTTTAACGAGGTCGCGTTCCCGGACCCCAAACAAAAAGAAAAGCATGTATTATTGATTTATATAGGGAGTTCAGTTCCCGGCAATAATGTTCAATCCAACTGCATGGTAGAGTGGTGCCCCTGCCACTTATGCAACTCCCCTGCCACTTTCAAACACCTTCTTGCCATGTTTCATGCAGCATATGTCCAGATGCTTGAGGTCAAACATGCTCTAACCAAACAGTGGGGGATTGAGTCTTGCTTCCTGAAACGGACGACGTCGGGCACGCCAACTGTAGGAGGAATGAGGAATGTCAACCAACGGAGTTCATTATGGCTACTAAAGTTATAGGAGCCATCCCTAGTTCCAGCATATCATTACCTATTATCAGACCCTTATTTTATTGATGCCTTTTCATTCGGATCCGATTTCTTTGTCGTTGCTCAGGCCTCCCCAGCTGGGTGCAGACCCAAAGCATGGCAGGTGATGCTAGGTGCACAACCCCAGGAACACTGGTTCTGAGTATGCTTGTGCTATCTTGTGCTTTTTGAAGCTAAGCCAAGCTGGTCTCCATCATTTTGTCTGGGTGTCCAACTGTGTTTGCTTTCCCTTTCGGAAGATGCTGCCGCAGAGACTAGACTCATTGGAAACCGCATGTTGAGATGACAAGGAAACAATGGTGATGTATTTGGGAACATCGCATAGTATGGTTCCAGGCCAAGAGGAACATGAAGCCACGTTCACACGCAATCAACTCCAATGCCAAGTACCGCTATCACAAGATATTACAAGTCATATGATCATATTGTGTTGCTGTTGTCGTAGTGCTGGTTCTGTCATTCTGGCGCAATATGTGAACACATTGCCTATGGCAGAAAGGTGAGACTCACCTACAAACACTGGACCATATCGAGCGTTGACTTCTTTGTGTTTGAACAATTGTGTTTGTTTTGTTTGTTTGTTTCCCCACCTGTTAGGTGAGGGTCTCTAGATATGGTATGTCAGGGATCCCGCCGCCTCCTCGTCCTCTTGCGCCGCCTCCTTTGCCTTATACAGCACTGCTGTTGGCGGTGTTGGTTGCGCGGTGCACCTTGGACATGTGCAAATGCTGAAACATAAGCCCAAACCAGAATTTCAGAACACATGTCGGAGCGTGTGTCGAAAGACATGCCGGAGCAAGCGGCAGACTTGATGTCAGAATACTTGCCAGAACGCAAATGAGCAACCATATTTATTTACGCAAAGGTATTTAGTAAAGAACCCGACATTGGGATTGCAGAATTTGCATTTTACTTGGAAAACGATAATACACTCATCAAAAAACAATAACATATTGATATGTTTAATTATAGGAAAGCTTAGTTTGCATATCTGCAGTACAAACTTTTTAACCATGAAGACCATCAGGGAACCGCGTTTCTGCTTAGTGTAGCCTTTCCCAAAGCCGTATTTGACTTCGGACTTTGGCGACAGGTTTGTCCGAAATGTAGCTGCAGTCAAACGATAACCTAAACGATAACCAAACGATAACGTAAATGTAGACAAACCTGTGCTACGAAACCAGTGCCCCACTTGTATCTGAAACATATCTTCCAAACAAGCTCAAGACATGGCTGGTCTACTACTACTACTACTCCTGCTACTACTACTACTACTACTACTACTACTACCACTACCACTACCACTACCACTACCACTACCACTACCACTATCATCACCACTACCACAACCACAACCACAACCATGACAACGACGACTACTACTGCTAGTACTGCTCCTCCTGTGCCGCCACTGCGACTGCCACTGCCACTGCTACTGCTCCTACTGCCACTACCACTACTGCTGCTACTACTAGCACTACTAGTACCACTACTACTGCTACTACGACTACTACCACTACTACTGCCACTGGTACTACTACTAGCGCTACAAGTACTAGTACTGCTAGTAGTGGTACTACTACTACTACTACTACTACTACTACTGCTACTGCTACTGCTACTGCTACTGCTACTGCTACTGCTGCTACTACTACTACCACCACTACTACTACTACTACTACTACTACTACCATTACCACTACCACTACCACTACCACTACTACTACTACTGCTACTACTGCTACTGCTACTGCTACTGCTACTCCTACCACCACTACTACTACTCCTGCTGCTACTACTACTACTCCTACTGCGACTGCTTTTGCTAGTACTGCCCCCACCAGACGGCGACAAGTCAAAAACAATGCTGGCGCTGTGTGTAGCGATGCCACCATTGAAGGCGATACCCATGACCTTACCACACAGAAGGAGTTTTGACCGTCGCACGTCTGCTTCCATGTCCAAAAAGTCTGCTGCTGCATTGTGAAAACAACCTTTAATATAAGTAAGGTTGGAAAACGATAATACACTCACCAACTTGAAATGCGCAAGGCCCACATAACAAATAAACAGTGTCTCTCAAATCAAAACAAATGTCGGAACACTCTTCAGATGTGATGCTAGAATAGAACAATGCCAGTGTTAACACGCAGAACAATATTGGAACAAATGGCAGGTTGATGACAGAACAAGTGTCAACATACATAACCAAACAAATATCAGAACACATACCAGAACCGAAGCAGGACCATATGCGACAACACATGTCAAAAACACATGCCCGGCTTGGTTCAAACTTGATGTGAGAACACCTCTCAGAAGCGCATGCCAGAAGAAATGTCAAGAAGACATGTTAGACTTGACGGCAGAATGGTTGTCAGAACGCATGCCGGAAAGACAGAACAAATTCCAGAACACTTACCAGACCTGATGGCAGGACAAGTGTCAGATCATTGTGTCAGTGCACACGTCAGGCAGGGTCTGTCAGGATAGTCTGTCAGGTGTGGCCTGCCTTTTTGCAAGTCGCCTCTTGGGATGGGGATCGCTCAAAGTGTTCAGCTTTGTGGGGGGAAGGTGGTCCGTATAGGAACCGGACCAAACTGGAGGGCTCATGTATTTTGCAAAGTATTGTTCCAGGTCGGCTCACTTATAATGGGCCTACTGTAGGCCGAAAGACTGTCAGCCATGATGCCAACAAATTGCTACAAAAAAATGCAGAGAACCGTTTGAGGCCACAAGACACGCAGCCAACAAAATCCCAGCCCAACGAGCGTTGAAACAGCCAGCTGTGGCTCGCCTCGGACTGGACCAGATCAATTTCAGTGGAACTTTAACAAAAGAGGTCACGGAACACAATATGCGTGTTGGGAGGGTCTCCCTTTGCACATGCGCACACAACTGCAAAGAGGTCAATCACTTATCTCCGAATATGTACACCCGATAAATCCGGCGATGCCATGGCCATCCATGGCCTCAGTCTTTCCTGCGTGCAAGAATTGCCCCGGCCCCATCAAGCAGCACGTATGGGACACCATGCGCTGCAAACATCCTGGTGTCAACATGTACCAACTGTAAAACCACACGACACCACGCGACTGACAAACAAAAGATTGGCACATGCAAATGTATGATCAAATAGGAATATGTGGCCAAGAAAGACGGAAACCATTGAGCAGTTTTACTTTACCAGTGTTCATGCCCTTTATTGAAATAATGTTTGCTGTGCGGTACAACTCCATCAAGCGGAACAGTGCCGAGTTCAGGGAACTGTGCTGCCTGTGTGGGCTTGCCGGTTTGCAATCATTTGACTGTGTTGGGGATGAGGAAAGGCTGTCTTCATGTGGCCGTACTCCCAGCGCGAGTCATTCCCCGACATTTGAAGACGATGGCCGCTCGGACAGGATTGGTGCTGCCGGCCGGGGATGAGGGGTTTGGCTGTGGCCCAGCGACGCGTACGGGGGTTGGTGAGGAGTTCGGATTCTATGGTCCTTTGGTGGCCAGTGCTTGAAACAATAATTCACCGAAAGTCCCAAAGTATGAAGCAAAACACCAGTGGTTTGGTCATCCCCGAGACGGAAGCTATGAGAATGGTTTTCCTTCGCCCACTTGCCGGTCGTGTCAGTGTAGTCTTGGACAAAACGCCATCAATCTTATTCGATTTATTGGAGACAGTACCTCAAGTCCCCGTTTTTAGGGGCCTTATGGCCACATGGTGCCATGTTTTGCCCTTTGATTTGCTATGGTCTAAGGAAGTTAACGTTCTTCTACACTGGAACTCGGGCGAGTCAAAACAACAGGGACT